TTGTTGTTGTTGTTGATGTTGTTGTTGATGTTGATGATGTTGTTACAGGGGGATGTCACCAGCAGAAGCTGACCTCATGTTGCTGGACATTGCCAGGAAGGTGGAACTGTACGGAATACGCATGCACACTGCCAAGGTGAGCGTCCTTTATTTTCATTTGTATTTTTGTTTCATATTTATTATTTCATTACATATTTCCGATATATAATTATAACTCAAGCTGAGATACGTGCTAAGATGAGAAGAATGAACTGCCAAGGTCGGCGATGCGGGATTTCTTTCGTTTCATCATATTCTCCGATAGATTTATCCGGCGTCTATCCGACAAGATGCATTGAGAGTGCGTCGCGCGGCGAGTCGGCGAGGTTACGTCGCCGTGCAGTGTGTGCGCGGGTGTTTGTGTACAGCCTGTATGCCGGGAGGAGACTCCCCGGAGCAATGCGCCGTCGCGGCTGTGGGCTATGTTCCCGCGTGTCTCCCGGGCGACGTCAACCAGAGAGGGGAGGTGGGGGGCGTGTTGACGTAGGCGCTTGCGAGTTACTTCGAGTATTAACTTGGATTGGAGGCGACGATCGCGAACGCTCACGGGGGTAAACGACGGGCGAATGATGCGACGGCGTGCGGTTTTTTTTCGCGAGCGTTTAGTGAAGCGCAAATGAAGCCATTATCGAGGGCGAGGGTGCGGGCTGACGTGTCAAACCCTCCCGCGCGCGTGTGCCTCGTGGTGGGGCCCTGAGTGACCACGATTTTCCCGGACGCGGGGGGGGGGGAGATTGCATTCGCGGATGAAGCCCCGAGTCACTCGTCGTTTTCACAAATGCATAAGGGGGAGGATGCGCTCAGGTGAAACAATAAATGTTTGCATGACCTCTGACGTTGCAGGATCACGACAGCGTGCGTGCGTGCGTGTGCGTGCGTGCGTGTGCGTGCGTGCGTGCGTGCATGCGTGCATGCGCGTGTGTGCGTGCGTGTGCGTGACCTCTGATCCGTTGTTGCAGGACCATGACAGCGTGACCATGAGAGCGTGTGTGTGTGTGTGTGTGTGTGTGTGTGTGTGTGTGCGTGCGTGCGTGCGTGCGTGCGTGCGTGCGTGTGTGACCTCTGACCTCCATTGTTGCAGGACCACGAGAGCGTGTGTGTGCGTGTGCGTGACCTCTGACCTCCATTGTTGCAGGACCACGAGAGCGTGTGTGTGTGTGTGTGTGTGTGTGTGTGTGTGTGTGTGTGTGTGTGTGTGTGACCTCTGACCTCCATTGTTGCAGGACCACGAGAGCGTGTGTGTGCGTGTGCGTGTGACCTCTGACCTCCATTGTTGCAGGACCACGAGAGCGTGTGTGTGTGTGTGTGTGTGACCTCTGACCTCCATTGTT